TTGTTTCTAACCCCCCTAGGCCAAGTCTGTTTCATGACATTCTCCTTCATACACTATATCTGGTGCATTGAGATGTTCAGCTTAATATAGTTCATGGCAGTTATTTTGTTTTCAAAGTCATGCCATGTGGTATGAGCAATATGTCTGTTTTGGAGACAGGGATGGGCGAGATGGGCTTGTCTCAATTGTAATTGTAAATAGAAGCATTTTTACTTCAAGCTTTTATGTCTGTATGTTTTTAGTGTAAGTGAGTTAGTAGTCTTTGTTTTTGCCTGATCTAAATGGTTGAAATGACCTTCAACTCGGGTCCACATAGAATTTAAATCCTCAGATTGTGAAATGTGACTGTGTGTGTTAAAACCAATCCTCTCTCTTTCACCCTTCCTTTCACCCCTTTTCCCCCTACCTTTGTTTTCTTGTGTATGTTTTTCCCGCTGCACTGAGCATGCGCCTGACTCACCGGCATCGCTCTGCCCAGCTGCATACTGATGAAGGCACACTCACACACACTCACACTGTGCACAGACAGACAGGTCTAGACATGTGCCACACACACACCCCACCTTCGCTACAGACCTGAATGCTCACCCCTGTTGCCATGGAAACCATGCTGTCAATTCAATCCCGGCTCTGTACTCTGAGTAAGGGCAGCAACAGGGGCCAGAGAGAGAGAGAGAGAGACAGAAGACAAGACAGTGTGTATGCATGTGCGTCTGTCTTTCTGTCTGTGTCTCTTAGCAGGCATTTTAAATATTCCTCAATGTGATTGCATTCACCACATAAGGTCACAGTTTGATTATACAATTGTCATGGAAATTCTTACACAGGGACACTCAAAGTACATTTTAAATGAATCATTGTTCATTATCAGCACACTGGAGTGGTTCCAACAAACTTGATGCACCATAGTGAATGTCTATCAGAAGCTCTTACGAGGCAGTCCCGTTTAGTTCCCTTATATACTGTAGACAAGTGATATTTCTATGAATTAGCTTATTCATAATTAATGAATCATTAACGTTTGCTTCATTCATGTGACTGACCAATACTGGGTCATGCATGTGACAGACCAATACCTCACAAGGCTTCTTCTCTAAGCTGAGACCTTGAAACTGAGATATCTTTCGTTCTCAAAACAAGGGTCTGGGCGTACTGCCAAATTGCAGATACTGATAGTGAGGGTTCGTTCAATCAGTCACTTGCATGAACACAGAAAACAGTTATTAGAAAAGCACAAAGATAGAACACAAAAAAACAAGCTATGAGGTCGAAGGAATTGTCCGTAGAGCTCCGAACAGGGTCAAGGCACAGAAATGGGGAAGGGTACCAAAAAATTTCTGGAGCATTGAAGGTCCCCAAGAACACAGTGGCATCTGTCAAACTGAGCAATCGGGGGAGAAGGGCCTTGGTCAGGGAGGTGACCCCTGGTAGAGTGCCAGACGGAAGCCACTCCTCAGTAAAAGGCACATGACAGCCCGTTTGCCAAAAGGTACCTAAAGACTCTCAGACCATGAGAAACAAGATTCTCTGGTCTGATGAAACCAAGATTGAACTCTTTGGCCTGAATGCCAAGCGTCACGTCTGGAGGAAACCTGGCACGATCCCTACAGTGAAGCATGGTGGTGGCAGCATCATGCTCTGGGATATTTTTCAGTGGCAGGGACTGGGAGACTAGTCAGGATCGAGGCAAAGATGAACGGAGCAAAGTACAGAGAGGTCCTTGATGAAAACCTGCTCCAGAGTGCTCAGGATCTCAGACTGTGGTGAATGTTCACCTTCCAACAGGACAACGACCCTAAGCACACAGCCAAGACAATGCAGGAGTGGCTTCGGGGCAAGTCTCTGAATGTCCTTGAGTGGCCCAGCCAGAACCCGAAAGAACATCTCTGGAGTGACCTGAAAAAACTAGCCAAATACAGGTGTGCCAAGCTTGTAGCGTCATACCGAAGAAGACTCAATGCTGTAATTGCTGCCAAAGGTGCTTCAACAAAGTACTGAGTAATGAGTCTGAAAACGTATGTAAATGTGATATTTCAGTTTTTTATTTATAATATATTTGCAAAAATGTTTTTGCTTTGTCATTATGGGGGTATTGTGTGTAGATTGATGAAAAAACTATTTTAATAAATTTTAGAATAAGGCTGTAACATAACTAAATGTGGAAAAAGTCAAGGAGTCTGAACACTTTGCGAAGGCACTGTAAATAATACAAAACACAAACGGATTACCAGCCACAATTGCTTCACTGACAGTAATGCAATATAACATTAGTTACAGAGCGTAGTCGTGATCCAGGAAATATCAGTATAGATGAAAAAAGATAATGCACTAGCACGGGGAGTGCGCAGTACTCTGTGTGTGCATCCTCCACACTCTCGTCCTATTAAGAACGTACTCAAGAGAACGTCCTCGAAGAACGAACTCGGAGTAGGGGAGTGTGGAGCACAGTAAGTAGTATACATATTGAGAAACACCCTATGTCTTGTGAGTGTTCACCAAACATATTGCTTTAGATTACACAAGTGCAAGTATGCACATGTGCACATGCCACACACACGCACACACACACACACACACACACAAGATCTGAGTAAATCCACAACCATTTAGACACCAAGGTGAGGCCAATAGTTAGAGAGATGCACTGCGAGGGCTTTCAGTTTGTATTAATGTATTCCACAGTGAAAATAGAACACCAAATGAAGGATCATCAAGCCCCGGTTCAATTTGGGCTTGATGATCGCTGATTGGTTAGCTCTCAGCGGTGGGCTGATGCGATTGGGTGAGATGTGGGCAGGTGTTGACAGGAGTGCAACCAAGTTAGGTCCGCTCTGAAGAGCTAGTCGAAGACTCAGCTGACTAGCGTCCTCGTAATGTAGCTACCTGTCTTACGGACACTTCCAATGCTCTAGGTCCCGTTCTATCCGGTTATTCAGCATTGGATTTTTTGGGGGGAGGATAGTACTTTATCATTGATGTTATAGCCATACCTAGATTAGGGATTTTTTTGTGTATTATTTGGATCAATTAAATTTTTCCCCTATCTTACTCCTTCTGTATCCGATCTTGTTACAATCCCAAGGGTTTATTTGCCTGAAAATAATTTGTAGATTATTCCATCAAGGCCATGGAGACACTACCTTATGGATTATGCCATGATTGATTGTATAACGATGATTAGAGGGATACCTTTTGTGTACATGTTTTGGATCTATCTACGTTTGATTTTACTGCATCGAAAATGCCTGAGGCAAACTACTTACGTTCTCTGTCATGGGGGTACATAAAGGTACAGTATGTTGACCTTGATGCTGATTTAGAATTCAAGCAATTTCAGGGCTAAGTTCATTAGGCATCAAATGGAAAAACACAGACTAAAACAGGGACAGACTACCTGGTCCAATAAGAAACACTCATTTTCGCTTTCCGTTGCAAAATATTTTCCATTGTGTGCCGTAATCAACAGCTCCCAGATAGCCAATCTTATGCTAAAGCTTGTAGGTTCGAGTTGCTGCCTTTGGATAATGTCTACAGTGTCATTCCAAAAACTTGAGAGAAGGCTTTACTTTACTGGTTTGTTAAGTGTTTTCATCAACGCAGTCATTTTCATTGAGGTAAAAAGGTCAAATAATGTGACATCGTTGTGATGTGATGCTCTGTGATGTAGAGAGAATGAAGATAACAGTACTAGTCCAGGCACTAGTCGCATTTCCATCTCAAGTATTATGTCGGAATTCCACACGTTAGCCATTTTGCATAGATTTGTTTATGCAAATGTACTGCTGTGCTGTTGGTAGACTGATGTATTTTGCTGTTTTGTTGTTGAGGAAGAGCTGCCTTCTTTATCTCTTGCAAAGTCAAATTATGTAAATGTAAATAGTAATTCACTCAAGTATTTTGTGAATAGTATGTGAAATAAGGCAAAAACAATAGTTGGGCAGTAACTTATCCTTGAATCAGACCACATATACTACATAGTTGCTACTCACAGTATCTGTGAGTGTCTGCTGAAAATGCCTCAGATTCACAATGCATGGTAAAAACATTTGATAATGACAGAAATAAAATATAATCAATTTTCCGCTTAAGTTTTCATGTACTGAATAAAATAGCAAATATGCCCCCTCTGGTCATGGCATGTGCGCTCTAGCCAACAGCTGGCATGTACGGTGTGGGTATGGTAGTCTACATGATGAGATTATTGTGGATAAGTGCGAGATTATTTTATTTGTCAAACGGCAGCCAAGGATCGATCATCATGTCACCAGAATAAGACCCTCGATATTTATTGAAAAGGAGCATCAAACTCATCATCGTGCACTTTCACCACTGTGGGAAGTTCATCATAACATATTTTGTATCTGTAGCCTAATAATTCATGCTTTCCCAAGTCGAAGTGGGAAGACCACAGCGTGACTCCAAATTTACTCCGATATGATGATTATTCTATCAATATTTGTGCATAATGGCGTTTCCACCGCCATTTCTTACATAATTAATTTTACAGACACAAGATCCCACATTGTCTAGTGTATTTTGTTTTGTCGACATTTGGAAAGTTTACAGACAAATCTGTTGTTTCCATCAGGCCTGTAGTGACAGTTTTTATCCGACATGTGAACCACCCCCAAGGAGAGTGAGAGCAGGAGAGAAGGAGAGAGAGCAAAAAAAAAAAAAACAAAAACAAAGTGGCACTCGAGCAAGAAAGCGAAAAAAAACAACACACACAAGCGGCGACGAGCGCGGCGAAAAAACACCCCCTCGCGAGCTAGCGAGAAATGCGAGAGCGTAGACCGCTGAACCCCTCTGAGAGAGGGGTAGAGAGAGGAGAGACGCTCTCTCTCGATCGGATCTCTCTCTCTCTCTCTTCTCTCTATCGCTCTATATCTCTCTCTCCCTCCCTCTCTCTCTCTCTCTCTATCTCTCTCTCTCTCTCCCCCTTTCTATCTCTCATTCTCTCTGTCTATCTCTTTTTCTTTCTCTTCTCTCTCTATCTGTGTCCAGTTCAAGAGGATGTTGAACAGGGAGCTGTCTCACCTGTCTGAGATGAGTCGCTCGGGGAACCAGGTCTCTGAGTTCATCTCCAGCACCTTCTTAGGTAAGACTGACTGACCTTGCTGTTCTGTTATCAGTACTTATAACAACAAGTACAAGTACCAATCCTCCAAGGTTCCCAAACAGTCCCCAAGAGTCAAGTAAAGAATCTCAATCACTCAGTCCACAAAAATGTGCCCCGAAACTGAAACTCCCAATCCCCAAAAAGCCTCCAAATCATTTGGGTATAGGGCAACACGGAAACAGAATTACGCTGAGACTCACATTTTTCACTTTAAAATGTATGCTAAACAAAAACCATTAATTTAAAGTGTAACAAACCATACAACTATATGCACAATGACTACTTTCAACAATTTACACAGTAAAAAATAAATATAAACATTTACTAGAAAAACTGTGCAGATGCAAAGTTTGGTAACAGAATTATGGTAAAATCTCCCTCAGTTTTATACTGTTACCCAACTTTGTATCTGCACAGTTCTTCCTGTAAATGTGTTTTTGTAAAATAAATCAGTAGAAATTGTTAAGTAGTCTATGGTTTGCTAAACTTTGAAATCAATGTTTTTTGTTTGGTATACATTTTAAAGTGAAAAACCTGAGTCTCAGTGCAATTCATGTCGTTTTATAAAATTAGACCATGGGCGACATGCATGTGTGTTTTGTTTTGTCAATGAGGACCAATCCTAACTTGAGATCAGGGTGCGTAACTGAAGTCTTCAAATGACCTCAATGCATGATTATTGGAGAGTGCGATCTCAAGTTAGGATTCAGCCTTCAAGCACAAAATATGCTACTTTTTTTAAAAACTTTGTATATTGTCTAACAGTCCCTCCTTCTCGTCCTATATCTATCCCCTCCTTCCTTCACTCTTCCCCCAGACAAGCAGCATGACGTGGAGATGCCATGTCCGCAGATGCAGAAGGAGAGGACGGACAAGAAGAGTGCCAAGCCAATGTGTCAGATCAGTAGTGTGAAGAAGCTGCAGCACAGCACCAGCCTCACCAACTCTAATATACCACGCTTTGGGGTCAAGACCGGGACAGAGGACAAACTGGCAAAGGTGAAGGAGCATTTTGACATTATATTTACATTTCAGTCATTTAGCAGACGCTCTTGGCTTCTCTTAGCCAGAGTGACTTACAATCAGGGTATTCAACTAAGGTAGGTAAAACAACCACATATAGGAGCAGTCTTTTGGTTGCGCTTTTGTTTTACAGAGTAAAGTCAATTATTTATCTGGTATGAACTTGAGGAAGGCACTTAAAGATGCAGCCGGGATCTTAAGCACTTACAAATTCCTAACATATTGTACGAATTGGAATTTGTAACATATGGGTATAACATATGGGTATATGGATATAATATATGTTGTGGTTATAATTCGTAACATATCGTGTGGCTCAGTTGGTAGAGCATGGCGCTTGCAACACCAGGGTTGTGGGTTCAATTCTCACAGGGGACCAGTAGAAAATGTTTGCACTCACTACTGTAAGTCGCTCTGGATAAGAGCGTCTGCTAAATGACAAAAATGCAAATGATTGGCTTAGTACTCAATTGTGCATCACTTTAACCTCTAACTACATATAATAATAATACGCCATTTAGCAGACGCTTTTATCCAAAGCGACTTACAGTCATTTTTTTTATTTATTAATTTTTTTTGTGTATGGGTGGTCCCGGGGATCGAACCCACTACCTTGGCGTTACAAGCGCCGTGCTCTACCAGCAGGCTACATAATGTCCCTGTGAGTTTTGGCTGGGCCTTTATCTGGACTTTTGTATTTTTCCCAAGGTGAAGTGTAGCCTGACCTGGACCTCTTCATTGTTCTATCATTCTATTTTTATTCTAGGCATTATCCCACTGATCCTTGATAGTACTTTACGGCACCATCGTAGCTAGCTAGAGATTACCACCAGCGCTAGACCAAGTTCTAGTGCTTATTAAACTTCCAGCACTTATCACCACTCAAGATTTAAGCCACAATCGATAAAGTTTCTGGTAATAGGATGCCTAAAAGGGCAATCTCTGTAATGTCCAATATAGTGATATGGACTAAATTGATTCTATTGAGATCCAGGTAATAGGGTAAAAGAGTCACCTATATAATGTTACGCCACAGTGGTTTGCTGATTGGCATACGGGGCATGTGGTAATACGGGAGATGGGCTGGATTCAACCAAACATGCTATGTGGTATGAACACCCAATCTGTAAAAGTAGCGAAGTAGCTGTGAAGATACACCCTATATTATTAAGATGATACTGGCTTAGGGTTTTGTGTCCCTTAATTTTCAGTTAGACTGTGCTACAGACATTGCCTCATACATCTTTACTTAGAATGTGATTTGATACAGCGCAGTGCGGATAAACCTACAGTGTTGTTTTGATTGAACTCCAGACTATACCTGAGTTATTAATTTTTGTTATGGGAAATGTGTAATTATGTGTATTAATGTATATAATTTCTCCTTATAGTACACTACATGGCAAAAGTATGTGGACACTCCTTCAAATTAGTGGATTTGGCTATTTCAGCCACACCCGTTGCTGACAGGTGTATAAAATCGAGCACTCAGCCATGCAATCTCCGTAGACAAACATTGGCAGTAGAATGGCCCATACTGAAGAGCTCAGTGATTTCAACGTGGCACCGTCATAGGATGCCACCTTTCCAACAAGTCAAATTTCTGCCCTGCTAGAGCTGCCCCAGTCAACTGTAAGTGCTGTTATTGTGAAGTGGAAACGTCTAAGAGCAACAACAGCTCAGCTGCTAAGTGATAGGCCACACAAGCTCACACAACGGGACTGCCAAGTGCTGAAGCGCGTAGAGCGTAAAGATCGTCTGTCCTCGGTTGCAACACTCACTACCGTGTTCCAAACTGCCTCTGGAAGCAACGTCAGCACAAGAACTGTTCGTCAGGAGCTTCATGAAATGGGTTTCCATGGCCGAGCAGCCGCACACAAGCCTAAGATCACCATGCGCAATGCCAAGCATTGGCTGGAGTGGTGTAAAGCTCACCGCCATTGGACTCTGGAGCAGTGGAAACGCGTTCTCTGGAGTGATGAATCACGCTTCACCATCTGGCAGTCTGATGGACAGATCTGGGTTTGGCGGATGCCAGGAGAACGCTACCTGCCCCAAAGCATAGTGCCAACAGTAAAGTTTGGTGAAGGAGGAATAATGCTCTGGGGCTGTTTTTCATGGTTCGGGCTAGGCCCCTTAGTTCCAGTGAAGGGAAATCTTAACACTACAGCATACAATGACATTCTAGACAATTCTGTGCTTCCATCTTTGTGGCAACAGTTTGGGGAAGGCCCTTTCCTCTTTCAGCATGGCAATGCCCCTATGCACAAAGCAAGGTCCATACAGAAATGGTTTGTCGAGATCGGTGTGGAAGAACTTGACTGGCCTGCACAGAGTCCTGACCTCAACCCCATCGAACACCTTTGGGATGAATTGGAACGCCGACTGCGAGCCAGGCCTAATCGCCCAACATCAGTGCCGACCTCCCTAATGCTCTTGTGGCTGAATGGAAGCAAGTCCCCGCAGCAATGTTCCAACATCTAGTTGAATGCCTTCCCAGAAGAGTGGAGGCTGTTATAGCAGCAAAAAGGGACCAACTCAATATCAATGCCCATGATTTTGGAATGAGATGTTCGACGAGCAGGTGTCCACATACCTTTGGCCATGTGGTGTATGTTTGGAGGAAAGTGGTGTGTCTAAAACGGGCCATGATGTCTGATTTCAGGAGCTTGAGGACGTCGATAAATGGGGCCTTAATCTTTTTAAAGTCACCGAGCTTTCGGGGAACAGGCCTTTAACAGTCATGATGTACACAATTTTCCAGGTAAGAACGTTTATACAAATTTACTGTGTGTGTGTGTGTTATATAAGTTTACTGTGTGTGTGTGTGTGTGTGTGTGTGTGTTTTGTGTGTGTGCGCGTGTGTGTGCGCGTGCGAATGTATGTGTGAATAGCAGTCAGTTGATCCATTATTCGGACATTATTCTTGATCCTTTTTGACCAAGTGTCTCATGTTTTCTCTCATTTTCAGGAAAGAGATTTATTAAAAACATACAAAATACCATTGGACACCTTTATAACCTACCTGATGACTCTAGAAGACCATTACCATGGTGATGTAGCCTATCACAATAACATCCATGCTGCTGATGTCACCCAGTCCACTCACGTGCTGCTGTCCACGCCTGCTCTAGAGGTAGGGAATGTACTGTCTCCGTCACTTCATGGGGGGAACATTTGTTGGGAGGATTTGATACAGTGCTGTCAATATGGCCATCTCTTTTAACTTTTTGGCTTATGTTTTGTTAATATTGCGAGTTTTAAACACAGCAATTATATCTGTTTTTATATTTGTCTTTAAATGTAACCTGATTTGGGTTCATTAGGAACAGAAAACGTTTTAAAACATTTTGCAATGGATAACAAAAATGACAGTTTCTTATTAGACAAGTCCTGGTAGTCCCTCTCTGTTCCAATCTGGTTTCTTCCCTTTTGAATGACCCTGGTTTTGATGGATTGAACAGTGAGGTTCATACAGTCAGATCGGGTTCATTGTTTTGTTGTGCTCATATAGATTGTTCCACCTCTTTTCTTCGCAGGCTGTGTTCACAGACCTGGAAATCCTAGCTGCCATCTTTGCTAGTGCTATTCATGACGTAGACCACCCGGGAGTCTCCAACCAGTTTCTCATCAGCACCAGTGAGTGGTCTTTCCAGTGCCGTGCAGTTATGAGCTTTTCTGCCTCCCATGACATGCCGTTTTTGCCTTTATCGCAGTGCTAATGTAGATGGCCGTTTTAAGATGAGCTTTTCTCTTCTGTGTTTGAGTGATTCTTTTACACACATAGTGAGTGTCAGAATGGTTTGCTGCTGACATACTTAAGCATTTTATAACCTCTTTCAATCCCACACATGCGCACACGCTGGCACACATGTAGAGAAGACAGACAGACAGACAGACACACACACACACTTGGATCCATCTCTCTGCGGGGAATCCCCTTCATTAGACATGCAGACAGGAGGCGATGACTCTATATCAGTTCATTGTGGACCACACAAAGAGACTTCTATCATTCCCAGACTGTGTGTGCTTGTGCGTGTCTGTCTGTCTATGTGTGAGTGTGGATGGACACTCCCTGACTGGGTTAGTAGCCCCAGAGGCATGCTACTCACAGTCATAAAACCATTTTATAAAGAAGGTAAAGAATGTACTGTGCATAATCTGAGAAACATGTGACATACAATAGAATACATACAATGATCTGCTAAACAATGATCTGCTAAACATGTGTATGTGACCAAAACAAGCCTTGACCCCGATCCGTTTGTGCTGTATACAATCAAAATATATATATATAAAACAAATATTTGTCACATACACGTGTTTAGCAGATGTTATTGCGGGTTTAGTGAAATGCTTGTGCTTCTAGCTCCGACAGTGCAGTAATATCTAACAAGTAATATCTAACAATTTCACAACATATACCCAATACACACAAATCTAAGTAAGCAATGAATTAAGAATATATACATATATGGACGAGCGATGTCAGAGCGGAATGGACTAAGATACAGTAGAATAGTATAGAATACAGTATATACATACAGTGGGGAAAAAAGTATTTAGTCAGCCACCAATTGTGCAAGTTCTCCCACTTAAAAAGATGAGAGAGGCCTGTAATTTTCATCATAGGTACACGTCAACTATGACAGACAAAATGAGGAAAAAAAATCCAGAAAATCACATTGTAGGATTTTTAATGAATTTATTGGCATATGATGGTGGAAAATAAGTATTTGGTCAATAACAAAAGTTTCTCAATACTTTGTTATATACCCTTTGTTGGCAATGACACAGGTCAAACGTTTTCTGTAAGTCTTCACAAGGTTTTCACACACTGTTGCTGGTATTTTGGCCCATTCCTCCATGCATATCTCCTCTAGAGCAGTGATGTTTTGGGGCTGTCGCTGGGCAACACAGACTTTCAACTCCCTCCAAAGATTTTCTATGGGGTTGAGATCTGGAGACTGGCTAGGCCACTCCAGGACCTTGAAATGCTTCTTACGAAGCCACTCCTTCGTTGCCCGGGCGGTGTGTTTGGGATCATTGTCATGCTGAAAGACCCAGCCACGTTTCATCTTCAATGCCCTTGCTGATGGAAGGAGGGTTTCACTCAAAATCTCACGATACATGGCCCCATTCATTCTTTCCTTTACACGGATCAGTTGTCCTGGTCCCTTTGCAGAAAAACAGCCCCAAAGCATGATGTTTCCAACCCCATGCTTCACAGTAGGTATGGTGTTCTTTGGATGCAACTCAGCATTCTTTGTCCTCCAAACATGACGAGTTGAGTTTTTACCAAAAAGTTATATTTTGGTTTCATCTGACCGTATGACATTCTCCCAATTTTTTTCTGGATCATTCAAATGCACTTCAGACGGGCCTGGACATGTACTGGCTTAAGCAGGGGGACACGTCTCGCACTGCAGGATTTGAGTCCCTGGCGGTGTAGTGTGTTACTGATGGTAGGCTTTGTTACTTTGGTCCCAGCTCTCTGCAGGTCATTCACTAGGTCCCCCCGTGTGGTTCTGGGATTTTTGCTCACCGTTCTTGTGATCATTTTGACCCCACGGGGTGAGATGTTGCGTGGAGCCCCAGATCGAGGGAGATTATCAGTGGTCTTGTATGTCTTCCATTTCCTAATAATTGCTCCCACAGTTGATTTCTTCAAACCAAGCTGCTTACCTATTGCAGATTCAGTCTTCCCAGCCTGGTGCAGGTCTACAATTTTGTTTTTGGTGTCCTTTGACAGCTCTTTGGTCTTGGCCATTGTGGAGTTTGGAGTGTGACTGTTTGAGGTTGTGGACCGGTGTCTTTTATACTGATAACAAGTTCAAACAGGTGCCATTAATACAGGTAACGAGTGGAGGACAGAGGAGCCTCTTAAAGAAGAAGTTACAGGTCTGTGAGAGCCAGAAATCTTGCTTGTTTGTAGGTGACCAAATACTTATTTTCCACCATAATTTGCAAATAAATTCATAAAAAATCCTACAATGTGATTTTCTGGATTTTTTTTTCTCAATTTGTCTGTCATAGTTGACGTGTACCTATGATGAAAATTACAGGCCTCTCTCATCTTTTTAAGTGGGAGAACTTGCACAATTGGTGGCTGACTAAATACTTTTTTCCCCACTGTATGAGATGAGTAATGCAAGATATGTAAACATTATTAAAGTGGCTAGTGTTCCATTTCTTAAAGTGGCCAGTGATTTCTATAGGCAGCAGCAGCCTATAATGTGCTAGTGATGGCTATTTAGTCTGATGGCCTTGAGATAGAAGCAGTTTTTCAGTCTCTCGTCCCAGCTTTGATGCACCTATACTGACCTCGCCTTCTGGATGATAGCGGGGTGAACAGGCAGTGGCTCGGGTGGTTGATGTCCTTGATGATCTTTTTGGCCAACTCCTATGGACAAAGATATGAACAATATTGGCGTGACAATGACCGTATAGTTGGCAAGACAGCGCAAACAGATCTGGGACGAGGCTAGAAAAGATTGCCTTGCAAGACAAATTAACTCAGTTCAAGCTAAATGGTATTGTAGATATAATGAAGGGTAAGTTGATTTCTATTGAAACCTGATTCATTGTCTTAGTATAAGATTATACAATGTTGGGATTGGACTGTCTGTTCTCTAGGCCGATTGACTGGGAGCTGATTTTGATCCTCAGCAGTTACGCAATCCTACAGTGAGGGAAAAAAGTATTTGATCCCCTGCTGATTTTGTACGTTTGCCCACTGACAAAGAAATGATCAGTCTATCATTGTAATGGTAGGTTTATTTAAACAGTGAGAGACAGAATAACAACAAAAAAATCCAGAAAAACGCATGTCAAAAATGTTATAAATTGATTTGCATTTTAATGAGAGAAATAAGTATTTGATCCCCTGTCAATCAGAAAGATTTCTGGCTCCCAGGTGTCTTTTATACAGGTAACGAGCTGAGATTAGGAGCACACTTTTAAAGGGAGTGCTCCTAACCTCAGCTTGTTACCTGTATAAAAGACACCTGTCCACAGAAGCAATCAATCAATCAGATTCCAAACTCTCGACCATGGCCAAGACCAAAGAGCTCTCCAAGGGTGTCAGGGACAAGATTGTAGACCTACACAAGGCTGGAATGGGCTACAAGACCATCGGCAAGCAGCTTGGTGAGAAGGTGACAACAGTTGGTGTGATTATTCGCAAATGGAAGAAACACAAAAGAACTGTCAATCTCCCTCGGCCTGGGGCTCCATGCAAGATCTCACCTCGTGGAGTTGCAATGATCATGAAAACGATTAGGAATCAGCCCAGAACTACACGGGAGGATCTTATCAATAATCTCAAGGCAGCTGGGACCATAGTCACCAAGAAAACAATTAGTAAACACACTACGCCGTGAAGGACTGAAATCCTGCAGCGCCCGCAAGGTCCCCCTGCTCAAGAAAGCACATATACATGCCCGTCTGAAGTTTGCCAATGAACATCTGAATGATTCAGAGGAGAACTGGGTGAAAGTGTTGTGGTCAGATAAGACCAAAATCGAGCTCTTTGGCATCAACTCAACTCGCCGTATTTGGAGGAGGAGGAATGCTGCCTATGACCCCAAGAACACCATCCCCACCGTCAAACATGGAGGTGGAAACATTATGCTTTGGGGGTGTGTTTCTGCTAAGGGGACAGGACAACTTCACCGTATCAAAGGGACGATGGACGGGGCCATGTACCGTCAAATCTTGGGTGAGAACCTCCTTCCCTCAGCCAGGGCATAGAAAATGGGTCGTGGATGGGTATTCCAGCATGACAATGACCCAAAACACACGGCCAAGGCAACAAAGGAGTGGCTCAAGAAGAAGCACATTAAGGTTCTGGAGTGGCCTAGCCAGTCTCCAGACCTTAATCCCATAGAAAATCTGTGGAGGGAGCTGAAGGTTCGAGTTGCCAAACGTCAGCCTCTAAACCTTAATGACTTAGAGAAGATCTGCAAAGAGGAGTGGGACAAAATCCCTCCTGAGATGTGTGCAAACCTGGTGGCTAACTACAAGAAACGTCTGACCTCTGTCATTGCCAACAAGGGTTTTGCCACCAAGTACTAAGTCATGTTTTGCAGAGGGCTCAAATACTTATTTCCCTCATTAAAATGCAAATCAATTCATAACATTTTTGACATGCGTTTTTCTGGATTTTTTTGTTGTTATTCTGTCTCTCACTGTTCAAATAAACCTACCATTAAAATGATAGACTGATCATGTGTTTGTCAGTGGGCAAATGTACAAAATCAGCAGGGGATCAAATACTTTTTTCCCTCACTGTATGACATAACATGTGTTAGTCTAGCCTAGCTGCCATGGCAACAAATAAATTGGACCCATCCTTTGGAATCTGTGTGTGCGTGTGTCCGTGTGTGTGTGTGTTCTTGCCTGTGTGTGTGATTGTGTGTGTTTGACTTCGCGTGTAAGTGCAATAGATAGAGATATATATTTGACTTGTCTCTGTCAAATGAGGCAGGGATTACTCAGAGTAGTAGGCATTGTGTGTTGTGTTTGCGTGTGCACGCTTGTGCGTGTGTTGTGATGAGCTCTAGTAAAAGTGTCCCAAGACGTTTGTTTGGCTACTTGATTCACTTTATTCAACGTGCATGCGTGTGGCAGAGAGAGAGCGAGATACCAGATGAAATCTACAAACAGATACACACTTGCTTCTTTAGAAATACCTAATGAATATTACCCTGAAAAGTATTTTACTGTAATATTCTAAATGGCGTCCGAAAAACTGCTTCCTAACCATGTGCTTTTATTGTCTTTGTGTTTTCCCTCCAGACTCAGAGCTGGCCCTCATGTACAATGACCCATCAGTCCTGGAGAACCACCACCTGGCCATGGGCTTCAAGCTGCTGCAGGAAGAGAACTGTGACATCTTCCAGAACCTGACCAGAAAACAACATCAGTCGCTCAGGAAGATGGTCATAGACATAGTGAGTGGGTTGGATGGGTGGGTGGATGAACCTAGCTAGTGAATGGATTAATTAATTAATGAGTGAGTGATATAAATATTGCAAAATATTTGTCAAATGAGAGTGAGTGAGTTCCAGCTTAGCACCCAATTGAACTAATCCAACATGTTGCTGTTTGTCCCTGTAGGTACTAGCTACTGACATGTCCAAGCACATGAATCTTCTGGCGGACCTGAAGACCATGGTGGAGACCAAGAAAGTCACCAGCTCTGGAGTGCTACTACTAGATAACTACGATGACAGGATACAGGTTGGCTGCTACTTCACATATCGCCACCCTGCAGGCAAAACTGGTCGCAATGACGTCTTTTGTAATGTCATGGTCAGGTTGTAAACTGTCTGTAAAAATACTAGGGCTGTCAAATGATTAAAATCATTAATCACAATTAATCGCATAAAATTCTGTAGTTAATCGTGATTAATCGCACATTTTGTATTTGTTCAAACTTGGTGCTAAATAAAGATGTTTCCATTTTTTTTTAAAGCAGTGTATTGAGTTAAAGGCATGTAGGGACTGAAGCACAAAAAATATTCTGTATCAGAATGTATTTAATGGCATATTCACCATAAACAAGTTAAGCAATACAAAAGTCCTGAAACTTACAAACCCTCCCAGTAGGCCTACTCCCTAATTCATTTTCTTGAAGTTCACACACCCACACCCACACCCAGACACACACACACTGTTAAAGCTTCAACCATTCCAAATGATTGTTCTCCCAATTACTGATTGGAGGGTTGGCTATAAGAAAAAATAACTGGCTCTATGGATACAAACAACAAAGAGTATAAACCTGTCCAACAATGTCATGAATGTAGCTCAATTGGTAGAGCATGGCGCTTGTAACGCCAGGGTAGTGGGTTCGATCCCTGGGACCACCCATGCGTAAAAATGTATGCACACATGACTGTAAGTCGCTTTGGATAAAAGCATCTGCTAAATGGCATATATATATATATATATATATATATATATATATATATATATATATATATATATATATGAATTCCACAGAGCATAAACCTGTCCAACAATGTCATGAATTCCACAGAACAAAAACCTCTGACCGTACACTTCAGTCGTCCTATTTCTTTTCACTGAGCCAGTTGCAAAGACAAACAAGCCTGTTCACATTTTCAAATGATAAAGCTGCTCTCTTCTTCTGTACGATATACCCAGAGAGTGAAAACAACCTCTCACAAGGTACTGATGTGGCAGGCATTGCCAGGTACCTTCGTGCATTGCAGGCCAGCCTTGTGTGTGCCCCTGCATGCTGTGACCACCACTGTAGTGGACCATTCCTCCACTCAGAAGAACTCAACAAGAGGGCAGCTTTCTTCTTTGGTGGCTCTGACTCGGTTGCTTTACCAGGTTGCTGTGCAGGCCTCTCTTCCTTCAGCAAGTTGCTGACCAAAGCCCACACTTCACCCTTCTCAGGTCTGGGAAGGCACTTCAGGTCCTTAAACCTTGGGTCGAGTGCTGTGATGATCTTCAGTTATGTAAGGTTGGTGTTTTCCTTGCGTTTCTCGAGGTCTGTTGTGAATGTCAGCTTGAATCTTCCCACGTAGGCAGGGTCATCATCGGAGCTCTCCATCACCCGACATGACACAAAGCAGGCAACACCACTGAGCAGGAAATGTACTTCTCTCCTCCCAGAAGTTCAGTCAAGTACCTGCAGTGGAAGATAATTCAAAATCACTTCAGTCAATTGTGAGAGACTTGTTATACACAGATACATTCCCTCACTCACACAAATACATACTCTCTCTCTCACACACACACTTTACTCTCTCTCTCTCTCTCTCTTTCTCTCTCTCACAAACACACACACACACACACGTTACACTCTCTCTCACACACACACACACACTTTACACACTCTCTCTCTCTCTCTCTCTCTCTCTCTCTCTCTCTCGCTTTCTCTCTCACACACACACTTTACACTCTCTCTCTCTCACACACACACACACACACACACACACACACTTTACACACTCTCTCACACACACTTTACACTCTCTCTCTCTCACACACACACACACACACACACACACACACACTTTACACACTCTCTCTCTCTCACACACACACACACACACTTTACACTCTCTCTCTCTCTCTCTCTCTCTCTCTCTCTCGCTTTCTCTCTCACACACACACTTTACACTCTATCTCTCACTCTCTCACACACACACTTTGCACTCTCTCTTTCTCGCTCTCTCACACACACAAACACACTTTGCACTCTCTCTCTCTCTCTCACACACACACAATCATATTATAACATTAATAGTGTGATTAAGAAGATAACCTGCAGGGCTCCAGTAGTGTTTCCAGCTTCTGCAGTTTCTCCAGTTCAGCTGTGGTTGGCATGGAGATGTTTGTTTTCTGTTGGGGCCAGAGCATCTCTCAGTGGTTGTTGGTTTCTGTGGACACGCTTTACCATTTCCAGAGTGGAATTCCATCTTGTTGTGACATCTTGTGCTAGTGACCCATTTGCAACTTGCTGTTGTCCTAGCTCTGCAGCGTTTGGTGGGCTGTGTTGGAAATGCCCAACATTTGTTCAGCAAAATCAGCTCCCTGTTCTGTAGGGACACTGTGATGGACCTTTGGAGACTGTGCGCGGTGTGCGCGGTGCAGGGCAGGTGTTCAACAGGCAGATGTCACGCAGCTGCAATCATGTTCCGTACACTGTCTGTGCAAAGTGTGGTAACCTTGTTTTCAATGTTCCACTGCTTTGCTACATCCATGAAATGCTTGGTGCACGTTTCAGCATAGTACCTCTCTTCTGTCTTCATTACGGCCAGAGCGTGTGAATGCAGTTTCCAGTTTTCATCGATGTGGTGCGCAATAACCCCAAGCTAGTTGTAGTTACTCACTGAAGTCCAGTGGTCTCCCAAGAGAACAACAGACGTAGCATGTTTCAACTCCTCCGCTTTCGTAGCCCTCTCGCTTTCATACAGATCGTGTGTTCTTGTAACAACGGTGGCTCTCGAGGGTAACTCATACGTTGAGTTGTTTGATGCGATCCGAATGATATCCCTCAAGCCTTTGTCCTCCACAATGTGGAAGAAGAGGACTGGCCACCCCTCATAGCCTGGTTCCTCTCTAGGTTTCTTCCTAGGTTTTGGCCTTTCTAGGGAGTTTTTCCTAGCCACCGTGCTTCTACACCTGCATTACTAGCTGTTTGGGGTTTTAGGCTGGGTTTCTGTACAGCACTTCGAGATATTAGCTGATGTAAGAAGGGCTATATAAAATAAAATTGATTGAAAATTGATTGATTGATGTGGATTGGCCTGCAAACTGTAGCTATCCACTTGGCTATAGCTTGTGTTAACTTGCTGCTCGTCGACTTGTCCACAGGCCTCCCGTGCGCACACTCTTCTAGCTTAGCCTGCCGAAGATGTCCTCCATTGCTACTAGTAACGTTACTTGTATTGCCGGCGTCAGCGGTGTGTTTCGCTTGTTAATGATAACGAAGACTCTATGTACTTCGGTGATAAACAAATTCAGCCTTGTAGTTGATGCAAATTACTTTGGTTTTATCCAGACAGCCATCTGGGAGGGTTTTGAAATTGAATTTTCCGTTTAAAAGCCCCTTACAGCATTCTCCACCATTCAGTCATATATGTAGATAGCTAGTAAAGTGGTTGTCAAACTAGCGCATAGGCTGCCGGGGCTTGAATTTGAACTATGGATTGTTCAGGGGGTCAAACTAAAAACATACGTTAATTTTGTGACCACAAAACTACATCTTTACCTGACCCTCTCCCGCTCTCCTTTCCTCTCTCTCCTTCTCAATTTCTCTCTTTCTCTCTCTCACTCTCTGTTGGTGTCTGCAGAATGTTTTATGTGCAGTTGATGATGCGAGAGGTTTGCAGTTGACCTTTTAACAATTTCTTATTTTGCAGGTTTATATATGTGAGGACTGAAATGTGATGGTTGTTAATGTGTTTGTATAAAGGGGATTTTCAATTCTAATTCTCTCTCCAGGTACTCCAGAACATGGTGCACTGTGCAGACCTCAGTAATCCCACCAAGCCCCTGCAGCTGTACCGCCAGTGGACCGACCGCATTATGGAAGAGTTCTTCAGCCAGGGGGACAGGGAGCGAGAGAGAGGCATGGAGATCAGCCCCATGTGTGACAAACACAACGCCTCTGTACAGAAGAGCCAGGTAAATGTGGTACACACATATAGTATATGTACATGTGCACAAGAGCGCACACACACACACACAAAGAAAGTCAATATCTGGCCTGATAGACAATTTATTTAAGTACAAACACAAGCTGATATACATTTTCTCTCCAGGTGGGGTTCATCGACTACATCGTCCACCCTCTGTGGGAGACGTGGGCTGACCTGGTGCACCCTGACGCCCAGGACATCCTGTACACTCTACAGGACAACAGGGAGTGGTACCAGAGCACCATCCCCCAGAGCCTCTCGCCCACCCTGTACAAATCCGACCACAGCAGCAGCCGCCCTCCTGGGGACAAATTCCAGTTCGAGCTCACACTGGAGGAGGACGAAGAGACGGACACGGAGAAAGACAGCGTGAGTCAACCAGAGGAGGGGCAAGAGGAGGAGAATAGTTGTGACTCGAAATCCACAGAGATCCCGTTGAACGAACAGGTGGAAGAGGAGGAGGAGGAAGAGGGTGAAGGGCGACGCCGGGTACCGAGTATGGCGGAGGTGGAGGGAGAGGGGGAAGGGAAAGAGGAGGGCGAGGAGGAGCAGAGAGCGACTGACACATAGCAGCAGGCAAAACTGCACGGGTTGCCAAACTGCGAAAGAGAGACTGTCACGTTACCACGTCTCAAGGGATAAGGTGAATACTAGTAATTGCCATGATGTCAGTAATACTGCGTCGTCAGGAGTTCCAAAGCGCACGTTGTACTCCTCAAGCCCAGGCCTCTCCTCACTACACTCCGACTAGAGGCGATATGGGGGCACAGACCCCCACAGACCCCCCTCCTCCCCTCCCCCCAGGACTCCTTGGAGCTCCACACTTTTGCACTCAGGAAATGTTTTGTCGACTTTATTGCCTCCATTTTTGTTTACATTCTGGTTTGTTCGGCCTGTCGGGAGCGAGGTGTATGTCTGTCGACGCTTGGTGGGTTTGAGTTCAAAGGCCAAACTCCACCTCTCCTCTAGCTCCTCCCACTTCTTGTCAGTGCAGGAAGTAAACAGGAAGTGTTCATTAACTCCCTGACTGAGCACATGGGCAACACATAGGATGCTTGGAACAGTCCCAACTGTAGCATCATCGGAGGACAGAAAAAAACGGGGAAGATGGACTGCAAGGTGACCCCAGCCCACTAATATGATCTGAAAAAACTATGATGGATATTATAGGGAGAGACAAAGACATATATTGTGAGATGATTTCAAAGATAACTTTTTTTCTAAAGTTCAAGTCTTCCTTAATACCAGACTGGCAGAAAATGCAGCCGAAACGCTGTTTTTGACTTCATCAGTTTTGTACATAAAACTGAGTTATTTTTGTAGATTTTACTTTTGTTACCGAGAGACAGAAAGAGAAAAAAGCAGAGGAAGATGTTCAATTGAGAATCTTCTTCGTCATTTATTGCAACCATTGTAACTTTATTTTTTGAGAAGAGATATATAGCATCATAATGGGTGTGGTCTTTCCTGGAATGTGTGCTTCTACTGAGTGGAGGTGACTAAGGTCTTTACACTCACTCAGTTTAAAAAAAATATTTTATAACTTCTCACCAAGGTATTTCAGATAGAAGCATCTTATTTGAACGTGTGGTATTCTGCTTGAGAGCTTTGGGGTTATTCATGTAACTTTACTGCAGGTTTAAATGTACCACCTGTTTTTATTTTTCATAACAGAAAGAAGCCGGTAACTACTGACCTTAAGAATATAATAATAATGTATAATGTGCGTATGCCATTTTTCCATTTCAATATGATATGTCTTGTTAACATCCTGAGTATGATGCATGTAGCGATCAGTTCTATCCAATCAAACTTACTATACAAATAGACTATCCAATCTATCTATACATTGTTAAATCTGTTTTGAAATAGGTGGTACATGTTTCTCAGCTGTTAAAGTTAGAGTCAGCGATATGACGTAGATGCAGAAAGTAAACAGCAAAGTTGGTTAATTTCCGCAACAACTAAGAGTGTTGAAATGCAAGGCTCAACTTTTCCGATGTTTTGGTCCCGTGGCTACTACGTTGTAAATGCGTGAAGCGAACCCATGCACATGCGCAGATAATGTGTGTGACTATGCGAGAGCGAAGTCGTGCATCTTGCGCATCGCAATATCTGTGGTGCTGCTCGTGGCAATGTAATTTCGCCGACTCTACCTTTTAAGGTTTATGAATAACCCCCATTGACCATCAGTAAGCCTCCATAAACACTCCTAGTTCTCAACAGTGTTGGTTACAATTACAACTAGTAATTTAACTATATTTTGCAGTAGCTTGGTGGTAGTTTAACTCAATTCAAATCTAGGTAGTATTTTCAGTAGTTAATTACTTTTTGCCATGTAGCGGTTTAGCTAATGGCCCTGTGTAGCTCAGTTGGTAGAGCATGGCTCTTGCAACACCAGGGTGGTGGGTTCGAATCCCACGGGGGGCCAGTTTGAAAAAAAAAAATGTATGCACTCATTAACTGTAAGTCGCTCTGGATAAGAGCGTCTGGTAAAATGTAAAGCTAACTACTGGAACTACACACTACTTGTTTAGCAAAAAGAAAATAAAATGTATTTTTCAGCATCAGACCTGCCTAATTCTCACTTGAAACATTTTTGTGTTTCATAGGCAAAACAACACATTATGGTAACATCAGTGTTGGGGAAGCTACTCTGAAAATATAGTTGACCAAGCTACCAATTACTTCACACTGGAAGAGGTTAAGCTACACTAAAGCTACCCTTAAGAAAAATACTGTTTACTTAAATAAAGTTACTTTGAAAACTTAGCTCACTACATCCAAACTATATTGTGAAAAATGATCATATGTAAATCTAAAATGTCATAAAGTACAAATTGCAATGTTCAGATCCCTTTGTGGTCATACATTACCGGTCAAAAGTTTTAGAACACCTACTCATTCAAGGGTTTTTCTTTATTTTTACTATTTTCTACATTGTATAATAATAGTGAAGACATCAAAACTATGAAATAATACATATGGAATCATGTAGTAACCCAAAAAGTGTTAATCAAATCAAAATATATTTTACATTTGAGATTCTTCAAATAGCCACCCTTTGCCTTGATGACAGCTTTGCACGCAGATCTGAAATTACAGCTTACTTAATCTGTAAACATTTTTAGTAGTGTGTAGTTCAGTAGTCAGCTACAACACTACACACAAAAAAAAGTAATTAACTACTGAAAACACTACCTAGATTTGACTTTAGGTCAACTACCACCAAGCTACTGCAAAACCTAGTTAAATTACTACTCTATAACTGGTTGACATATGACACCAAAGTGATCTGTCTTGCAATTTGCAATCTATGAAATTTCAGATTTACATAATTTTTCACCAAGTAGTTTGGATGAAGTTAATTACTTTTTCAAAGTAACTTTAGCTAGTTAAGTAAACTATATTTTTCTTAAGGGTAGCTTAAGTGTATCTTAATTCTTCCAGAGTGATGTAATTGGTAGCTTGATACTCTGAAAATACAGTTTATCTTCACCAACACTGGTTAGCAATTATATCTGTAACACTTTAGAATACAGTCACATGGTTATATTTCGTCATTTCAAAACTTAATTAAGTACAAAGGGATTTTAACTAACGATTTGTTTAGTGTAAAACTTAAATAATAAGGGTGTATTCATGTACACTCTTATATATGTGTGTGTGTGTGTGTGTGTGTACAGTGAGGGAAAAAAGTATTTGATCCCCTGCTGATTTTGTACGTTTGCCCACTGACAAAGAAATGATCAGTCTATAATTTTAATGGTAGGTTTATTTGAACAGTGAGAGACAGAGTCCTTGGGAGCAATTTCCAAATGCCTGAAGGTACCATGTTCATCTGTACAAACAATAGTAGGCAAGTATAAACACCATGGGACCACCGCAGCCGTCATACCGCTCAGGAAGGAGACGCGTTCTGTCTCCTATAGATGAACGTACTTTGGTGCGAAAAGTGCAAATCAATCCCAGAACAACAGCAAAGGACCTTGTGAAGATGCTGGAAGAAACAGGTACAAAAGTATCTATATCCACAGTAAAACGAGTCCTATATATCGACATAACCTGAAAGGCTGCTCAGCAAGGAAGAAGCCACTGCTCCAAAACCTCCATAAAAGACTACGGTTTGCGACTTCACATGGGGACAAAGATCGTACTTTTTGGAGAAATGTATTCTGGTCTGATGAAACAAAAATAGAACTGTTTGGCCATAATGACCATCGTTATATTTGGAGGAAAAAGGGGGTCACTTGCAAGCCGAAGAACACCATCCCAACCGTGAAGCACGGGGTGGCAGCATCATGCTGTGGGGGTGCTTTGCTGCAGGAGGGACTGGTGCACTTCACAAAATAGATGGCATCATGAGGAAGGAAAATTAGGTGGATATATTGAAGCAACATCTCAAGACATCAGTCAGGAATTTAAAGCTTGATTGCAAATGGGTCTTCCAAATGAACAATGACCCCAAGCATACTTCCAAAGTTGTGGGAAAATGGCTTAAGGACAACAAAGTCAAGGTATTGGAGTGGCCATCACAAGGCCCTGACCTCAAATATTTGTGGGCAGAACTGAAAAAGCGTGTGCGAGCAAGGAGGCCTACAAACCTGACTCAGTTACACCAGCTCTGTCAGGAGGAATGGGCCAAAATTCACCCATTTTATTGTGGTAAGCTTGTGGAAGGCTACCCGAAACGTTTGACCCAAGTTAAACAATTTAAAGGCAATGCTACCAAATACTTATTGAGTGTATGTAAACTTCTGACCCACTGGGAATGTGATGAAAGAAATAAAAGCTGAAATGAATAATTCTCTCTACTATTATTCTGACATTTCACATTCTTCAAATACAGTGGTGATCCTAACTGACCTAAGACAGGGAATTTTAACTAGGATTAAATGTCAGGAATTGTGAAAAGCTGAGTTTAAATGTATTTGGCTAAGGTGTATGTAAACTTCAGACTTCAACTGTATATATATATACAGTGGGGAGAACAAGTATTTGATACACTACCGACTTTGCAGGTTGTCCTACTTACAAAGCATGTAGAGGTCTGTAATTTGTATCGTAGGTACACTTCAACAGTGAGAGACGGAATCTAAAACAAAAATCCAGAAAATCACATGATATGATTTTTAAGTAATTAATTTGCATTTTATTGCATGACATAAGTATTTGATCACCCAACAACCAGTAAGAATTCTGGCTCTCACAGACCTGTTAGTTTTTCTTTAAGAAGCCCTCCTGTTCTCCACTCATTACCTGTATTAACTGCACCTGTTTGAACTCATTACCTGTATAAAAGACCTGTCCACACACTCAATCAAACAGACTCCAACCTCTCCACAATGGCCAAGACCAGAGAGCTGTGTAAGGACATAAGGGATAAAATTGTAGATCTGCACAAGGCTGGAATGGGCTACAGGACAATAGGCAAGCAGCTTGGTGAGAAGGCAACAACTGTTGGCGCAAAATGGAAGAAGTTCTAGATGACGGTCAATCACCCTCGGTCTAGGGCTCCATGCAAGATCTCGCCTCGTGGGGCATCAATGATCATGAGGAAGGTGAGGGAT